TTATATTATATTATATTATATTATATTATATTATATTATATTATATTGCAACATACAAGAGATAGAATTCATTTTGCTTAAAATGAAATTTCATTTTAATATATAATCAATGAACTGCAGTACATTGTATAACATTAGGTATACAGCCAAGTGGAAAGCAGCACTACTTCAAGATAATCAAATGCTATTATCAAGTAACACTCAGTTACTCTTAGAACATCAAGACTTAGGTAAAAGCAAGATTCACAACCAAACATTAACTCCAATTTCCCCTGAACTCTGAAGTGAGAATTCAACTATTACATAAAAAAAAACAACTATAACATTAAAAGAATAAAATTTTTAAAAGGCAATAGGTATGTTGATTTTAATCAGAGGACTCCCGAAAGATGACAATGTAATATTTACATTATAATGGATTCAAGATATATAATTCATGAGCTAAAAATGCCAGTGAATGCACTTCTAATGAGAATTATATAAGCCATCAGACAAAAATGTCTTTTGATGCTAATGAATACCAGTATACTGTTAGACTTAGTGTTGGATTTAGATCAGGAAAACCAATATTCTAGCTCAGTGGTCGCCAACCAATGGACTGCGAGAAAATTTTGGTGGGTCACACAGAAACGTCCCCCCAAAGCACCCCCAAAGCAATTAATCCAGGCTGAGCCCTGGATTAAGGCCCACCCATCCCTTGGCTCCCACCCTTTTGCCGAGAGCAAATCTGCAAAAAACAGTGCATCCCTCATCGGGCAAGACGAGGTAATGGTGCTGTTGCAGCAAGAGGGGGCTGGTAGCACAGGCGGGCTGAAGTGGCAATATTGGAGATGGCCAGAAGGTGCAGGAGCACCGTGCTACTTGCATTTGCGTGGCACTCCCGCACCTTCCAGTTTGCTTCTCCTGGCCTGGGTACTTCCTTGATGGCCATGGGCTGTAGGTACGGCCCGGGGCAGGAAAAGTACCAGCTGGTGGTGGTAGGAGTGGAGGGAATGAGAAAGTTTGCGCTCACCATCCAGTTCAGAGGTTCGGAATGGGGCGTCGGCATCAGTTTCCTCGTCCCTCTCGGCGCTCTGCTCTCCTGCCCCCCCCCCACGGCCCCAGCCATCGCTGCCCAGGGAAAGCACAGGAAAAGCAAGCAGAAACATAGCTCTCGCTAGGGCGAAAGAGCTGAGATCAAGAAAGGCACAGGCAAGAGAAGATGGAAGCTGCCGCCCTTGAAAAGCGCCACTTTCTGTTGCCTGTGCCTTCCGATCTCTGCTCTTTCACCCCAGCAAGAGCTATGTTTCTCCTCGCTTTCTTTTCCTGGGGGAGCAGCAGAGACATCAGAGCTGCTCCCCCCACCCCAGCAAGGCAGGCCTGGAGGAACGCAAAGAATTGCAGGCAAGCACCGTGTTGGAAATGCCAACACATATTTCCAGCATGCTCTCCTCCGTCCCGAAGTAGGATTGAGTGGCGGGGAAAGGAGCAGGGGAAAGGAGAAGTCTGCTGGCTTTTTTTTTGGCATGGGGCGGGGGTTAGGGAGACCAAATGCACAGACCAAAAGAGTGCCGAGGAAGATGAGCTCCTAATAACCAGCCTGTTTGTGCAGGCGAGAGCTTGAGCTTTTTTGGGCTCGACACCTCCCCCCTTCGGCCTCCACACAGGGAGGGACCTTTCTCTGCTTGGAAGCGATGGGAGAAACCTGGAGCTTAGCTTCGGGGAGTCCTCCTATGTGGAGGCCAAAGGGGAGGTGTTGCCTGGTTATTAGGAGCTCGTCTTTGTCAGCACTTCCAGCCCAGCCCTCCTTCCCTCTCCTAACCCCAGGCAGCCACACCTGGAAAGGAGGGAGAGGTTTCCTCTGACTTGAGGGAGATATGAGATAGCTCTGCTTTTCTTTCGTTTGAGGTGGAGCCAGTTCCTCCCCGCCCAAATCTTCCCAGCCTCCAGGTACCATGTGGCTTCTTAAATCCTTTCCCCCACAAAGGATGAGAGAGGCCCCTCCTTTCCCTTCGCTCTGCCCCACAGTTATGATTAAGCATTTACTATTTTATTATAATTAAATAAGCATTTATATATAATAAGCATATATATCTATATCTATATTAAATTTATATTTAATATAAAAATAAGTTTTTATATTAAATATATTATATTTTTTAAACAATTCATATTAGAAGTCCTTGGGATTTAAAAGTACAAGTTTGGTGGTCCCTGAGGTCCAAAAGGTTGGTGACCCCTGTTGTAGCTCATACTTAACCATGGAATTCATTAGCAATTTTGTGGCCTGTTACTATCTCTCATTTCCACCTATCTTACGGACTAATTGTGGGCGGCAAATGAAAAAAGCAGAATATAACTCCAGTAAGTAAATAAAATACATCGATACTGGAAATTGTAGACCTTAATTTAGAACATCTGATTTATTTAGGCATATAGATAGACCCAGTTTGGTCTAGCAGTTAAGGCATCAGGATTAGGATTAGAATTAGGTAAGGATTAGTGGTCAAGTAGTTAAAGCGGGAGACCATGAGTTCTAGTCCCATGAAAGCCAGTTGGATGATCTTTGGCCAATCACTCTCTCTCAGCCCAACTTGCCTTACAAGATTGTTGTGGTTGGGAAAAGAGGAGCGCGGAGAAGTATTGTCACCTTGAATTATTTGTAAAAATGATAAAGGTGTGATACAAATAAATAAATATTTGACATCAAATATTTTAAAACAGTTACATTTATGAACTTACAGGAATATTTTGTATACTTACAGAACAATTCTGCTTTTTTCCAAATACATAATACTGCTACTGAATTAACCTGACCATTTATGTTTCTGAGGACATTTTCATATAGGTAAAAGGTAAAAAAAATGTGGGGAAAAGGTTGAATATAAAATAATGCACCATAAATATCTTATAGAGCTTAAATTGCTATAATGTGTCATTTATTTATTTGGCTACCCAACCTCATTACAAGATACAGCAAATCTTACGCTCACCTATCTGGATCTGTATTTATTCCAATAACTGGTTTTAATTGATCCAGTACCTTACTGGCCGCCAGAAGCATTGTTCCATCACCTAGGAAAATATAGGGCTTGGTATCAAAGCATGTTTAAGAATTTTTTAACATTCCAAAATGAAGTATTGGACAAACATCTTAAGGTGAAAAGAAGAGTTATATTGTGCTGATATGTGCCTCAACACATTTGGGGGCTACTAACACATCTTTGAGGGCAATCACCTGAAACAGCAGAGGTACATGCTCTCCTGGAGAGGATAACTCTTGATTCAGGATTCAGACTCAGTTAAACTGATAATTAACCTTCATTTGGTAAAATATTCTGATGGATGACTATTAGATTCTCCCTGGATAGGGAAGTATGTATTTCATGATCCTATCAGAGCTCTCAGCAATGTTTCACAGCATAGTATCTTTCTGACTACTTATCAGGTTTGGAAATCAGAGAAATTATTTTGCAATGGTGCATTTGAAACAGGCAACTCCAGTCAATAATTATGAGGGAAAGTCATCAAGCTATTGTTATTCTAATATGGAGGGTTCAACAGTCCTTTTGCAATATTTATTATTTGATATATTGAGAGGTACAAAGTTGTTGAAATCATACTATAACAATAAAAGACAATAAGAAATTAACAATGAACAATAATCCATTTTGCTTTTCTTAATATAGTAAATTTCTGTATCAATGGCTGGTTGGGTTAAGGTATTCTCGCCAAATAATAAATTCACCCATAAAATAATCCAAATACACTATCAAATCATACAAAAAAAAGTACAACTATATCATCTAGTGAATTCAAATATTCATTCAGAGCATAACCTCTGTTCCTGTACTTAATGGAATAACTAGTTTTTTTCTGAAACCCAGAAGATAAGGATTAAACCAACATCTGCTGGGAAGGATTTTTGGAATATTGGAGAGGTAACTGAAAATACCTACTTTCAAAACCTCATCAGATGGTGTATTTTTACAAATGGGGATCAGAGGGAAGTTGACCCTATTTGACTTGTTCGCATTGTCAGATAAGTTCAAGAGAAAGTGGACGTCCGGATAACTTGGTTCAGAATCGCACAGGATCTTAAAAGTGGCAACCAGCACCCTGGTAACTGGAATCAATTTCCACCACTATGCAATGTGGCCATAAAGTGCAGCTGAATCGCTTAGCGGTAGCAAAACCTGCAGTCCAGTTGCCACGATTAACTAAAACCCCCAGTCATTAAGCAAAGCAACTTCCTGCAGGCTTCCCACATCCAAAGTCAGTGGAGAAATCAATGGGAAGTGCCAGGCTGGCAGGCAGGTTGCTGCTATATTGGAGAGGGTGCATAAGAGTACACAAAACTATGACAGAGGCACAGGGCAGGCAAGGTGTGCAAGAGGTGCAGCAAGGGTCAGGGAGAATATGGTATGAGTCAGGGAATATATGTGAGAGGCATGACAAGGTCTGGGAGGGTGTGGCATGGATTGAAAAGTGTGCACAAGGGTGTATGGGAGGCACATGTCAAAGAGGGTGTGCAAGTGATTGGTGCAAGCTGGGAGGGCTGGGAGATGGTGTGAAGATGGGGAGACTCATCCCAGAGGAAAGAGGTTCAGGGTAATCACACAGTAGAATATATCAGTATACGTCAGTAGGTAAGAAAGTTATAGCTTTAGTTTGGCAATATTCTGTCACTTAGGTGTAAGAAAATAAAGGATTGGATTTAATTGGATCGTGCAGTCTCATCAGGTCCTGGCAGTTCACCAACATTTTTGTTTACACTTACTTGTAGATTAGCAAATTTAGCTTTCATATTTCTGCAAATGTATTTACTCAAGTTTTCAATAACTCAAAATACATTTCCCCACTCACAAGTTAATACCTCCTGCTGCTATAACAGCATCTGCCCATTGGACAGTCTCTTCATCATAGTCTCTCCGTTTCACAAGCCGAACTTCAATCTTCTCATTTCTACAGAGAGATATTGAAAAGCAAGTGATTGTTCTCATTTTCATGGTTAAGAAACGCAAAAAGTGAAGTCAGTCAATACCTCCTAGGAAAAAAAGGAAGTCTAAATACTGCCTAAAGTCTAAATAAAGCCTAAATACTGACAAAATTCATATGAACTACTGACAATTTTGTGAAACAGATCAATAATTTACATTAGGCCAAGTTATCAGTTGCATGAAAATATCCACTTATTGCATTCAATTTTCTCACATGTTAAATCCATGTAATCCATACATCTGCAAGAATTAAACAACATCATTAGAATTTTGTTGATGGGGTGGGTTTCTACCGGTTCTGTCCATCTCTGTAGAACCGGTAGCTCTGAAAAGCAGCAGATATAGAACCAGTTCTATGTCTGCTGATGTTTTTGCCCACCCGCCCACCCAGGCTCTTACCTGATCTTTATTTCCTGATTTTTCAACTTCAGCTGCCGAACGAGGCACAGCTGCAGTTAAAAAATCAGGAAAAGAGGGCTGTTTCAAAGGCTGCTTCTCTGCACGCAGCGTGCTGATGGCGTGCGGCTCGCAGCATGCAGGAAAGCACACATAAATCACCGAACCTCATAAATCCTGAACCGGTAGTTAACCCTGTCGTATTCTACCCCTGGATGAACCCACTTGGAATCAGAAAAATGTAGGAACTAATTTGGTATAGTGGTTAAGGCACCAGGCTAGAAATCAGGACACCATGAATTCTCGTCCTGCCTTAGTTCTCATCCCCTAGGTAGAGGCAATAGTAACACACTTGTGAAAAAACTTGCCAAGAAAACACCAGGAATTATAATGTTCATATATTGGCATTCCTTGACTTACGACAAGTTGCTTAGCGACTGTTTGAAGTTACAACTGACCTCCCCAGGGTTGCTTATAATCCGGATTTGAAGTTCTAGTGATCACACACATCCCCGCAGCCATGTGATTGCATTTTGGGTGCTCAACAATCAGCCCACATTTATGGTTGTTTGTAGAATCACACAGTCATGTTGGCAGCTCAGATTAGGTGTTGCTGATTAAGAGAGCCAGTTTTGTGTAGTGGCTAAGGCTCCAGACTAAAAACCAAGAGACCACAAGTCCTAATTTATGTGCAAAGCCAGCTACATGACTTTGGGCCAGTGTCTTAAGTCGTAGGAAAAAGGCCATGGCAAACCACTTGCCAAGAAAGCTGCAGGAACTAGTGCAAGCTGTCACCACAAAAGAATCAAGACTGACTTGAAGGCAATCCTCCCAACTCTCACATTATAGCTTTAGATGTGATCACAGGTGATCACATTTTGGGTGCTCAGCAACCAGTCCATATTTATGGCTGTTTGCAATATCCCATGGTCATGTGACCATAATATATGGGTTTTTTGCTGAAAATTGGTGTTTACTTCTGCTTGCTGGCAAAAAACACCCATTGTGAACAATGGATTTGCTTAATAATTACTGCAAAAAAAGTTGTAAAATTGGGGGCGGCCATGTGGCATGACTTATGACTGTAATTCCAGTTCAATTATAGTTGTAAGTCAAGGACTACCTGCACTACTGGATCAGAGCCATTATCTAACATTTTTAAAACAGGGAATAAAAGAATAATGTATAAATGTTCAGAGCCTCTGTTCACTGACCTTATTTCAATTATAATCAACATTCTTGATATACATCCTTACCTTAGACTATTTACAATATGTTCCACATTTTTTGTATGAATCCGATGCCGTTCTAATAGACCACTGTAATTAGATCCTTTTAATGCAAGCTGTGAAAGAGAAAATTGGCAAAACAAATTGAAATAACACAGGCAATTTAAAAAGGTAGGATGCAAAGAATTAGAAACTTTAAAATTATTTTTCCACTAATTGAAGCAAGTACATCTATAAAAAATATTTTAAGATTAAAAAATAATGTAAGAATTTGCAACACGTTACCATTTAAAACCTACAGACTTTAAATATATACATTAATCATGTTAATCAAATTTGAACAGTATGTCATCTACAAATAACTGCCTCCTCACATCACATAAGTTTCCCATCTTGTTCAAACCAAGCAACGATGGTTAATAACTTCAAAGCAAAATAGGAAATGAAGCCATTATTTCAAATGGGCTTCATATTCTGCTTATTCGGAAGCTATCATCTATAGTTTCCCAGTTCAAGATGATATTTTTTCCTCTGTCTGAATTTTATTTTCTGACTTCATTTTTTGCTCTGTTTCAGTGAATATGACACTACTGTAAATCAGTTTTACATAGAAAAATACAACCTAGAACAATCATGTCATTTACTTGGATCATCTCCATATTCCTAATGACCAGGTTTTTACTACTACTATGAAATAATTCTCTGAAAACAGTCTATTAAATCTCCTGGATGGAACATTCTTACAGACTTCCCATCTTGTAGAGAAGAGTAGTGGATTAAGCCTACCCCCTCAGGACATAGTTTTATCATTACAAGGGAATAATTGCAATAACTTTTGCATACTAACTTCCTGCTACCTAGTAACTAATACACAAAATCACGTGACCCAATTACATGAATATGTCTGTCAACAAATTGGAACAGCTCCAAAACTGTCATGTAACTACACATGTTTGAGTTACTTCAATCACGGTAACCAAACAGAAAACAGAATTAAAATAAACCTAGTAAATCAAAAGAAATATAGAACAAATGGGAAAACAGAATCAGCTATATTTTTAACAGGAACCATTTTCAATAACCACTTCATTAAAATTCTCTACAGCCCTCAAAATTTTGGCTGCATTCTCTGTATTCATTGTCAGACTATTCAGCTGATTGGACATATTTTGAAAGATTCACAGAAGTATTTGATTGACTAAACTGAAAGAGTATCATCTGATGTTGCATGTGTAGAGGTAAACTACAGTAGATTCTTAATATATAACTTATGTATATTATAAATTCACAACAAAGTGAGTATACAGCAGCAAAAAGCTAGAGAAACAATGCTACATTTCATTTCATTTTAATTAGTCAAGTTAATACAATGATGCATCAAAAAAGGAATTAGAACATCAACTCTTTACAACATTATTCAATATACCAGAGTATAGTTGATCAGAAATAACAAAAAAGATACATAGTATTTCTATATTAATCTCTGCTCAGAGCACTTCTCAATGAGTGTAACCCACATATTACATTGTGAATGCTGTGTGTTAATTACCTCCAGGAATTTTGAAATACCATGTTATTTAAAAAAAAATCAAGACATTCGAAACATTTAAAAATATGTATCAGTAAAAGACCTTCACACCAGGTCATCATTAGAATGGCACAACTGCTGCTATATCTTAGTTTCACAATAGACTTATATGTACATAAGTCACATTGCAAGTGAACTCCTTATCCGAGCTAACAAAATGTTCAACTCTGCTCTATTTAATGACAACACAGTTTAATATGAGGTATTAATCTGTTATGATTCTAAAGCCTTATATGTGACATTCTTTAAAAAAAAACTATTGAGAAGTTTATGTTTTATGGATTTGTTTATAAATACGGAGCAGTTATAGGAAGAAGAGATATGTTCAATTTTACAGGAGGGTAAAAAGCTACCAAATTCATTTAAACGTGATGAGGACTAGAACTATCTTCTTTATATGTTTCTTTTCTTTTTCTTTATTTCTTTATTTTCTTTTTCCACTTTTACTTTTTACCTTCTTTCCAAATTTACTTTGTATTAGTTTTTATTATTGCAATACACACACACACACACACACACACACAAACCCCAAGAGACAATGTTTCAATCCAGTCATACAATGAAACTAACTTAGCTCACTGAAAATGTTTCTTTAACTAAAGCTAATGTGTCCAAATGTCTGACCTTTGGATAATGCTATCAGAACATGTCGTAAATACTCACTATCAGAGTCTTTTTCAGAGACTGAAAAAGTCAACAAAGCCAATCTCATTGGGTTAAGAATGTCTTACCAAAACTACATTCCAGGAAAAAAAAAGACCCTGAAAAAGATACTTTATAGGTGTTTCAGTCTTTATATTCTAGCCTACAATTATTTTCTTAATGATATTAAGGTATAATCATGACTGGAAGGGTCACAACAACCCCTTAAATATTAATTATTCTAGGTAAAAATTAAAATTTACTAGTAGCCTACTGCCCTGAAGCAACTTTGAGGGTGTCTAAAGAGCAGCAAGAAACAGGGAAATTATTTCTAGGACTGATGAAACAATTCTTCATCTATGGTAGATTACCAACTTTATCTAGTTCCAATTTCTTAACTTAGGCACACGAAATGAACATTTCATCAAAACTGGATCAACTGAAAAATACAAGTTATCTCGTTTTATTTTACTAGTGGTTAAGTTTAGTTAGTTGTCAACAATTTGTGTGTGTGTGTTTATACAGATACAGACACACACTGTGTGTGTTGGTAAATCAGATTGACAAAGTGGGGAAGTGTGAGCTTTGCAAAGAATTTCTGCCTGTGTTTCTAATATTTTTCTATCTAATCTCCCTTTTCTTTCAAATTCAGGGTCATTTTCATTTAGGATAAATACAATAGAAAGAAGCAAAAACCATAACATTGTTTAAAGAAGTTATTTGTAACTATTTTATCATTACTGAATAGACAAAAGTGTTTCAAATGAGTACCAACATTTCTAAATCCTTGGGAAAAGATTGAAATGTTTTGCTAATTAATAGAATGGATACAATTCAGAGACTTTCACAGTCAAAGCATCCTGTGCAGATAAAATCAGAATCCGCACCGTGACACCACTTTAAGAAACTGCCACTGCTGCCATCTGAAAAACAGAGCAAGACTTGAATGATAAGTAAGAGTTTAACAGCACTATGTTCTATGGACAAAATCTGGCTCTACTCTATTCCCTAACAACAAATCACTGATGATTGTGTGAAAGTACTGCTCTACAGTAAGCCATTTATTCTGGAGAAACTGTTCTGAAGTTTAGTGGGGGGGAACAGTAGTCTAGCAACTGTAAACAATACCTCCACATGGCTCTAAAAAACTCCTGCCAAGATAAAGTAAGTTGGATTGAATGGGAACAGAACTAAAAAAAAATGTTTACCCAAAAGCAAAACAAACGCTTTTGGTGGAATATATTTTCTATCTGCATTTATCCAGTCCACTTCAAAATATTGCAGGACGCCCAGGACAGATCTGAGAGACTCAAAAGAACTGAAACTGAATTGTTTTTAAGTTCTTATTTTATCTCATTCATATTTTTTTCTTACATTTTTCTGCGCAAATACAGGATCTGCTTTTTCTGAAACAACCAAATGATGATCCATTGGTTGATCAAGAATTGACCAACAAGCCAGGAATTGTCACCTGAGCCATCATTGTGGGTTGAGGGAGTGACTGGCCCAAGGTCACCCAGTCAGCTTTCAACTTAAGACAGAACAAGAATTCAGTCTCCTGGTTTCTAGTCTAGTGCTTTAACCTCTAGACCAAACTGGCTCTCATTTTATTTCATTCATATCTATTTACTTGCTTTACAGTATGCCTATATTTAAAATTAATCAGAATGGCTAATGTTACATTTCAAATAAGCATTTTTTAAAAGGTAATTTCAGCATGCTTAAGAATGAAGAATTAACAACTAAACTAGATAACTGAAGTATCTAGCCAAGATTCTCCAGTCTGGTATACTGCCTGGAAGTGATAGAAGTTAAAATCAAACACACTTAAAGCCTCTAGATTTTTGAAGACTGAACCAGCCCAAAACATGATTAAAGATTGAACATCTGAAGAATGCAATGTTCCATGTTACCACCTTACCTGATTACCTTTACTTCTTTGTTTGCATAGTTCTAATCTATGAAAAAATATAATTTCTTAGAAGATGTCAATATTGATGGCTGAATGGAATTCACCAAATTAATGGAGAACAAGTATGCTAATTAGTATAAGCCATAAGTAATTTCTAATATCAAAAGTTGTATGTCTCTAAAAGCCAATTGCTCTGGAACAAGTAAATGCTATTGAGATAATGTTCAGCTTACAGGAACATAATGACCAACTAAATAGAACTTGATCCTGTAAAAATATTCTAAATATTGCTGAAATAGTTACAGCATACTGTACAACTCTGAATAAGACGTATGAGCCAAATTCATGTGGTTCAACAGTCTTCCTTAAATGACCCCTTGTACTACAATCTTAGCATTACTGTATCAATCATCATAACTGAATTCTGAAACCTGGGATTCCAAAACATCGGAAGACTGTATTGTAACACTTATAGGAAGACCAATGGGCTGCTTGGAAGTGGGTGGGTGCTATCCACTGCCATAGCCGAACCTCTAAGCATAATCTTTGAAAAATCTTTCAGGACCAGCTCCTTGGCAAAACTATGGTCACAAGCTGCAGTCATTCCCATCTTCAAAAAGGGAGACCACAGCCTAGTTGAAAATTACAGACCAATCTCTTTATGCTGCATCACCTGTAAAGTCATGGAATCAATTATTAACCAATCCATTATCCTCCACTTAGAAACAAACAACCTACTAATAAATAATTTGGTTTCAGGAAAAAACTATCCTGTAATCTGCAACTCTTACACTGCAAAAATATATGGACTACACAAATCAATCAGGGCAAAACAATGGACGCAATCTACATAGACTTCTGTAAAGCCTTTGATTCAGTGGTACATGACAAACTACTCCTAAAACTAAAATCTTATGGTATCTCTGGACAACTGCATAACTGGATAGAAGCATTCCTGTCAAACAGACAACAAATGGTCAAAATTGGGAGTGTCCTATCAGATTCTGTACCTGTCAATAGTGGTATCCCCCAAGGCAGTGTTCTAGGACCAACTCTTTTCATACTCTACATAAATGACCTCTGTGATCATATTAAGAGCAACTGTGTCCTCTTTGCTGACGATGTAAAGCTATTCAACACCACAGACAATACTGCTACCCTTCAAAAAGACCTCGACTATGTATCAGAATGGTCAAACAAATGGCAACTTCAAATCTCAACAAACAAATGTTCTATGTTACATATTGGCAAAATATATCAGAAAATAAATTACAGGCTGAATAGTCAAGACCTTGTTGATGATCCAAACTCTGTCAAAGACCTTGGAATACTCATCTCTAATGATCTAAGTGCTAGAGCCCACTGTAACTACATAGCAAAAAAGATTGTTAACCTAATCTTACATAGCTTTTCTCTGGTAATATTGCACTACTAACTAGAGCATACAAAACACTTGCTAGACCAATACTCAAATACAACTCATCAGTCTGGAACCCACATTATGTATCTGATATTAACACAGTTGAGAAAGTCCAGAAATATTTCACAGGAAGAGTTCTCCACTCCTCTACTCGTTGCAGAATACCTTATGCCACCAGACTTGAAATTCTAGACCAAGAAAACCTAGAACTACGCTGCCTTCGGTCCGATCTAAGCATAGTATATAAAATCATACATTGCAATGTCCTACCTGTCAATGAATACTTCAGCTTCAATCATAACAATACAAGAACAAACAATAGATACAAACTCAAGGTTAATCTCACCAAACTTGATTGCAGGAAATACGACTTCAGCAACAGAGTGATCAATGTCTGGAATACTCTACCTGAGTCTGTGGTTTCTTCCCCAAACCCCAAAAACTTTAACCTTAGACTTTCTACTATTGACGTCACCCCTTTCCTAAGAGGTCTGTAAGGGACATGCATAAGCGCACCAACATGCCTACCATCCCTGTCCTATTGTTTCTTTTATTTTTCTTATATGTATCCATGTATTCATAACTATGTTCTTACTTATACCTATTATCTTGTAAGCAATTGACGAACCAAATAAATAAATAAAATAAAATATTTCAAATTGATATTTCTTGGACAATAAAATAGCGTTTAGCAACCAAACCTTAGAATAATAAAGGGACTGGGGTTTCTATGTCAACAGTTGCTGCTCTGTGTAACTGAGAACAGATAAATTATAGTTGTCTCTTCCCTTAATTAAGTAATTACATTGTAAAGACATTTGGTTTAAGTACTGTCTACAATATATTGATTAAGAAATAACTTCTTTAACTGTAAATTGTTTAAAGAAAGCGAATATATTGGGAAGACCATATGTAGTCCAACTTTCTTTCATCTGGTTTTCCAAGGTCTATTGGATCAGCCTCCAGACTCAACCACCAGGCAGTTTGATATGAAATAATTTCTTTGCTTTATCCCTATGCTTTCTAATTATAGGTATGTTTATATCAAGGCCTATGAAAATGCAAGATCTGGAGGTACTACTGCAAAGAGAACAGATCTTATACCAATGCTGAGATTTGTTTTGGTGTAACTTTTGTAAACTTCTTCAAATGCAATCAATGGACTTGACCAGGGGCTGTTTATTCCACAATAATTGAATCTGACTCTAGTCTAAGGATGTTAAACAACGATCCTTTGTTTGCAACTCCTCTCCAATAACCTACTTTCCTTGCCCCCTGGAACTGAAGGCAGCCTAGATAAAAATGTCCAAACTCAAATCAAACCTTTATTAAAATAGCTGCACCACGTGCACATGCACATTATAAAACCTTTCTTTTTTTTTTCTTCTGCTCCAAGATCCCTGCTATAAAAAAAAAAAACAGAGAGGCACAGACCAGTCACAAATTGTTCACTAAGTTTCTCTTAAGTTTTCAAGCGGTGCAAGGACCAGGTCTGTGAAGCCTTCAAATATCCCTAAGGCAGCCTTCCTCCAGGTATGCTGGAGGACGTCTCCCTCGCCCCCCCCCATCACCTGGGACACGGGGGGGAGGAGGACGAAGCCACCAAAAAGACACCCCCCCCCAAACGCCACACTTGCACCCACCACACCTCTAGGCTCCTCCGTCTCCTTTCCCCGCGGGGGGAACAAACCCACCGGAGGCGCCGCCGCTGCTCACCAGCTGCTTGAGATCCTCCTCGGAGAGCCCCGCATAGCGGTACCGCTGCTGCTCGAACTCGTAACGGGTCGTCTTGGCCACCACCACCACCCGGGATGGGCGGAACCCGCTGCCGGCCTTGGAGGACAAGCTGGAGCGGCCGCCGGAGCCGAGGCACCGCCGCGAAGGGGAAGGAGAAGGAAGGGGAAAGGAGGGCGGCGGCGAAGGCGGCGACGACCCCTTTTCCGCCAGCGCCGGACAACGCAGGGGGAGTCCAACTGTGGCGGCGGCGGCGGCGGCGAAGGAAGCCGCGGGCTCAGCCAAGCGGACGCGCGGGAGGGCGAGCTGCCTCCTTGACGGCGGTTGCCGCCGTAAAGATTTGAGCAAGGCGCGGAGGGTGGCACCGGGATTGCCGCCACTCAGGTAGCTTGGGAGGCAGGTCATAGCCCGGGCTCGGGAGAGTCCTCCGGGAGCTACCGCCGCTGCCGAAGGCTGCCGTATAGTGGGAAGGCGAAAGAACCGAGCGGCGACCTTCCCCCTCACGGTTGTTTTTTTTTTTTTGCGCCGTTCTCGTGCTCCCGAGGCGGAGGCAGCGTCCCGACGCACCCACTCCTCCGCGCGGCGTGCCACTTGACACCCGCGCGCACAGGTGGCTGCGTGCGCGCTCGATTAGAGCGCTCTGAATCCGCGCGGGGCGGGGGAGGCCGCGCACGCGCAGATCAAGCCCCCCGCCCCCCCCGACTCTTCTTTTATCCTCCCCTCCGAACGTCACTTTGTCTTCTGCGCCTGTGCGGCCGTTTGACCAATCAGGAAGGAGAGAGCTGTCTGTCTCTCCTAGATTCGGAAGGAGAACGGCGGGAGGGCGGTGGTGACGGCGGCGGCTTTCCCAAAAGAGCGACGCCTTTGCCTCCTGAGCTTGTGCGCAAGCGGGAGCGTCGCAGCGCTCTTTTAACGCGTCGTTCGGCTTTCCCTACCTTCAGCCGTTTTAATAGTAGTGAACTGCACTCCCGCCAGTTTTAGGGAAGAAGCTACGTGGAGTGCGGACTTAATTCCCATCTTTTCATTCTGTACTATTGCCCGGATTCATCTACTTTTATTTGCAGTTTGATTTTTATGGACTAACGAAATCCAGAGTCCTCCCAAGGTAGTTGATTGCGAAGTACCCAAAAAGCTAGGGAATCCCCAAGATGAAACCTTGTTCGCTTTTGGCGTGATTCCATTAAAATCAAATTCCAACCCTAATTTAATATTTGCAATCATGTGGAGCTACCAAGCTCCATGTGGGAGGCTCCATTCAAGCATAACAAGTTGCTTTTTAAATAAGAAATGAACTCTCTGGGAAGCAACAGCAGTAGCACTTATATACTGCTTTACAATGTTTTACAGTCCTCTGTTAAAGAGGTTTACAGAGTCAGCCTATTGCCCCCAGCAATCTGGGTCCTCATTTTACCCACCTTGGGAGGATGGAAGGCTGAGTCAACCTGGTGAGACTCGAACTGCCAAATTGCAGGAGTAGCCTGCAGTACTGCACTCAATGATAGAGGCATTCAATTGGAACTTATCCTGGAAGATACTGGGACAGAGGAATCCAGAAGCTCTTCAAGAAGCCTTCAAAAGCACTCAGGCCCATTTTTAGATTTGCTATATTTTTATTAGTATTGTGTATGCATATAAATCAGGATCTTTTAAATTCCCAAGTCAGACAGGACATAGATAGTGCCAATTTTGAATTCTGTAAGAAGGAAGGAAATTGGTTTATATTGAATCTGGGCATGGGTGTGTCTAATCCAGCATTCCTAGTTTATGCTGATTGACCAGTGGCCCTTTCAGAGAAGATTTTCCGCTGGTGTATTTGGAGTGAGAAATGCAGTTAACTAGTATTTATATGTGCAATGTGTTTGTTTTCCCACTGAATCACCATCCTATCTACTGCACCACTAAAATCACCCCTTTCCTCATTTCAGAGACTTCTTTTCCTTTTCAGCCTAGCAAATTTTCTTAAAAAACATACGTGTTTGTGCATCAACAGATGCACAGAGTTATCTAGGATGTATAACATAATCTAGGATTCCAATTGGGAGAAGAAAGGAAGGGGAAGATTTATTGGTTATGTAGATTACAAATGAGAGTGACTGCAAATGCCTGAAATGGGTTTAAAACCCATTGTGTTTGTTTTTTAAGATAGTCCTTTTAATGATTCAGCAATCTATCTTTCAATCATGCTGCTTTTCTTTCCCCCCAAAATGGCCCTTTGGGATCTGCAATAGAATTTTCTTGAAGACTGAAATGCTTTGACATTCATTGGCAACAAAACCCTTTCTGATTTTTGGCTACCACAGTACACTCTTCTCCTACAGGGCCTTCCTTGGCAAAGGTACGCTAACTGGGTAATCCAATAACCTGTAACCTGCATTACAATATAATACAAACAAGTCAAACTGCCTTACTTATGAGCAATATTTTCTTTACATGTTTTCCACCTCACATGCTTTCTACTTTGCTTTCTACTTCAGAAAGACTGTTGATGATGCATGTTTATCCAGAAATTTGATAAATTCAAGAAAATAAGTGCTATATATTAAACATTAACTCAATAGTCCCAGGAAGCTGTTTCAAAGATGGTTCTGATTGGCAACCCTTTGTACTCATTAAAGCAAATTCAAAGTGTCCATTAGCAAACTTCAAAATATAAAATTGCTGGCAGGTAAATATAGACTATAGGTTGATGTTAACTCATTGCAGTTCATAGAAAATGTGCATATGTTAAAGTTAAAAGATACTTATTGTTGCAAAGTCAAGATTTATTTTAGATTCATGATTAAATAAATTTGGTAAATATGCATTGAGGAAGAAAAGGCAGATGATCCACTAAGATTAAAAGCCAATAAATACAGAAAATTTTATTTCTTGCTCTATTTAGTGCACAATAATATCTGAAGCTATACGAAATACATATATAAGCGGTTATATGAGGAAAAAATACACTTTAGGTTTTTCTGAATCTACATGATATTGCAGTAATAATAATAATACATTAAATAAAACACAAGAATATAAAGGATAAATTCCATTGATCCTACCAAAGTCATATACCCTCTTCATAGTGTTTTCCCCATTTAATAAAATAGGAATAAAATATTTGTATTTACAGGCAACAGAAATAGCTCATTTGTATATCCTTCAACAGCTAAAATTATTTTTAATAATTTTAACATGTATTTGAAAATCCTTTGAAATCTATTAAGGCTAATTTAGATCACTTTACATATTTTATGCTTAAAGATTTACATCATTATTATTATATATCCTACTTTTTCTGAGAGAGTTCAAGGAGACTTGCAAGAGATTTCTATTAATTTTATTTCCACAATACGCCTGCAGGATGGGATGGGATGACATAGGTTTATTGAATTTGGGTCTCCCAGGTCCAACCGTTTAATCACCACTCTACTCATCTTAAAGTGCAGAATGTGGGATTTTTACATTTTTCTCTCTGAATAGTGAGCCAAAGTGCTACTTTTAGAAAAACACTTTCATTTTAAAAACAATACAAGACCATATGGACCATCATCCATAGTATTTTGGATCCTGCAGTCTGTCATTCAAAGTAAGATTACACAGGATATGGACTGTGTAATCAATGCATTTCCTCCCAAGGAAACAAATTCTATTATGTGAATTTTAGAAAAAAAGGAATCATCATCACCATATTAAAAATTATAGTTAGCAGCCATGAAACTTATACCTTTGACAGTGCATCATTATAACTGAAGCAGCTGAAATTTGTAACTTCACTGTGTTTTTAGAACATTTATTTTAACATATTTTGCTCAGCTAAAAGACCTTGAATTGGACTAGATTATAGTGGAGCAATAGATCAAAGAGAAAGACAATCAGTGGGACTCATTCTCAGTATGACCAGTTGCTAAATAATTGACTGTTGCACTTTACAAACAGATAAGCAGTATTTAATAACTTACCCATTTGGTAATGTGTTCAAACTTTGAGCTGGAACTTACTTGATTATTATGGGTGCATTTGTAACTGACATGGATGGCAAAATTATGAGAATTGAAGTCCAGTACATTTAAAGCATTGTTTTCAAGCTTCTGAAAAAATTCTAGGAGTTACTACACATCTGAAAAGTGCCAAGTTTGAAAATTGGATTTAGAAGAGGGTAGGTTGGAAAAAGTTGATTTAAGCCAAGGGTCTTCAAACTTGGCAAGTTTAAGACTTGTGTATTTCAACTTCCAGAGTTCCTGAGCCTAACATGACTGGAGGAAGAATTCTGGAAGTTGAAGTCCACAAGTCTTAAAGCTGCCGAGTTTGAAGGCCCCTGATTTAAGCTATAGCACATAGGCCTTTTTGTATCCAAGGACTTTAAAAAGCAAAACAAAAACTTGTTCAGAGCTTCCAAGGATGACAGGGGTATAACAATGATTTCCCTGGAAGGAGCCCTTTTTAAACTTTCTTTTATTGTACATTGGGTGCAGGGGTGGCATTCGACCAGTTCTGCCCGGTTCTGGAGAGCCAGTAGCAGCAATGAGCAGCGGAGACGGAACCGGTTCGAAGTGCATCAGAATTCGAAGTGCATCTGCTTTGTGCGGCGCAAAATAGCGCCGCGTGGAAGCTGCTGCAGCGACCAGCATCATGCAGGCTTGCAGGAGGCAAGTTAGAATGCCTCTGCACCTGCACAAAGTGTACGTTTGGCACGTGCATCCACGCAAAGTGTGCACGTGGGCACACCGCGCCCATTAAGCCACGCCTACCAAACCAGTAGCAACTTTATTTGAATACCACCACTGATTGAGTGGGTTGGTAAAGGAGGTGTCTCCAACATAATGCACCTATTTTATATGTTTTTAAAAAACAGAAAACTTGTCGTCCTAGAAGCCATTCTCTTGGTAGAAAGGGCATAGTTATAAGATCTGACAAATTCCATCGATAGGCTCTGAATTTATTGTTACAGTCTGATGACGCTATTCTTTATTAGTTGGAGATTATCCACAAAGTTGAATTCTATCAGAAATTTAGGTTATTTCATTGTTGCCAAATATCATGATCACTGTCAACAGAGTTGCCTGTCAAATATTTCGTTAGTTTACATGTATAATATCTTTAAATGTAAATGGGAACAACAGTGTCCATGGGATCCAAATGAGTCAAACTGACCAAAGTATCATTATGAAGTTCTGATGCAAGCCATTTTTCTGCCTACATTGTGACATTGGGCATGCCAACTTGCAGTGTGATGCTATAATGCTGCCTTTTAACATTCCAGTAAAAAGCAGCAAAATCCCACAGAGGCTACTGATTAACAGCTTCAGCAGTTTGGGTGGAATTATATCTAATTATGAGATCTTAGTTTTTAAGCACTTCTTTTCTGTAATCTGCTATAACTTGTAACCTTAACAAGAGGGACATTCAGACATGATAAAGAAGCTACTTTGCAGATAAGTTGTCCTAGGTATCCTGAAGCATCTCTTCTGAATGAACCCAAAATGCTGCTCTTGGCAGTGCAAATTTATGAATTTTCTGGACTAATTTAGCTTCAGCAGAT